ATTGCTATGATATGAATGTTGTTTTATATCACTTGGTTTAAAATTTCCTCTTTTCCCTTCGCTGAAATTTTGAAAAGAAAATGTTGAAGTTTTTACGTTTTCGAGTGAATAAAACTCATTTCATTGTCTAGAAATTTTGAAAAGATGTTGAATTTTTAAAGAGCGTATGAGTAAATAAAACTCGTTTCATTGTCTTATCGCTGTTAATTGTCATTATTGTTTGAAAGAAATCTAAGTACTTATAAAATAAACAAATAACTTCATGGTTGGTTTGCTTGTACGATTTTTATTCACTTGGTGTGAAGAATCGCAAACTCGTGAATAAAAATCGCACGCACTCACCAACCAGGAAGTAATCTATATCGCTTCATCGATCGATGAAAGACGTAAACAAGTGTCCATAGGAGCTCTAATAACCTCTTGAATCCAAAACTCTCCTTTCCACTGAGAAAACTTAACGTACCAACAAAATTTACGCTGTTTTTTACGCCGATAGGGAAACCTGTGATACTAATAAGGCGACCCGAAGCAAAACGAAGAAATTAACTTTCAGTTTGACAGCCATGAAGTTTTGTAACTCTATGCTTCGTGCGACACCAGCCATCCCCAATCAAACTTTTTTCAGGCTGCGAAACAATACATTTGGGGATGGAAAAAACCCTTTTGCTTTTCCACCAAAAGACGGCGCTTTGCTGTATGTCGATTAAGATGAATAAACGCGTTTAGATCAAACTCAGAAGCGATGCGTTTCTGAAATTCCTTTTTCCAAGATCCGTTTCAAGCGGGAAACCAACTTAATGCAAACGTGCTCAGCCAATCGACATCAAGTAATCATGCCCTCTTGGTTACCAAAACTGCCCTCGTGATTAAGAAAAAATTGCCCTCTGTCTCTGCCAATCAGCATTCTGTAATTTTACCCTGTATGTGCTAAACCATTTTAAAAACATGCTTGTAGAAGTGAAGATAATGAGAAGTGGTGCCTTTGTATATCACTCGGATTGCTGGGTATGCCTTAATCTTTTCATTGGTCGTCAAGATGGCTATTGCTACTATACGAGCGACTGAAGTAATTGGGAACGAAAGTATAACATTTTAGTACGGTTTGCCTTAAAAATGGCTCGTTCTTCCCCAGCGAAGAGCTGTGGAAATGGCGTCTGCGGAGTGGTTCTGCAACTACAATTTGGTTGTTTACTTTCAGCAATCAATTCACATGTTTTCTTTCTTTTTCTTTTAAATTGTGAAGTGTGTA